TTACACAAAAAATACTAAAATGGTTACCATGCTCAAACTGCTTTTTATTTGAAACACAAGCTCATAAGTCCAAGAGTTACTACTGATACTGCTAAAATAATAAGACAATCTTGACTGTGCCATCCTTTCTGAATCTTAATTTTAGGCCTTTTAAAGGCAGGGCATGGGTGTGTTTGTCAGTATGTTGTGTTTGAATACCAAACTGGTATTGAAGAGCTTACAGGTGCCCTCCTGTCCCCGATCTCCCTCCCACCTGTCGGCTCTGTTCATTCACAGCCTGTGTCCGCACATGGTAACTGATCTGTATTTCCCAACAGACTGGCCTCATCCAGAGGTTTCAGAGCACCTTGGTCGTCGCAGAACACAACAATGACAAGCTGACCCCCATTACTCTCAATGCCATCACTGCTGCCGGTAAGCTGGGCGGAGATGTGTCCTGTCTGATTGCAGGAACAAACTGTGCAAAGGTAAGAAGCATTTCTGCTGCTAAACAGTCTATTACTAAAACTATGCACAGCAATTTGTCATAAACAAAACTTGCTCCGAAACGGGTTTATTCATGATTCACACCGTTCAAAGCATCAAGCCCGCGTCTGTTAATTTTGTTAGCCATTAAATATGAATAATAAATGTAGCTATACCATCACTAATGCAAGCCCTTGATTGTCGACCCACATCGTTTTTCTTTCTTTTGAGGTTGTGGAGGAGATCAGTAAAGTACAGGGTGTGAAGAAGATTCTGGTGGCTCAGCATGACTCTTACAAAGGTGCCTTGCCAGGTATGTTGTTCATAACACATTTATTGAACAAGTTGTTCCTATTATAATGTTGGTATTTAAATCATTTTTCAATATTGGTACACTTTCAAAGTTAGGACATCATTCAAGTTACCATGAAATCCTTTTTTTTTTTTTTTTTTTAAAAAAAACAAAAAAGGGTGTTTTGTGGAAACCTTGGCCAGTGATTTGTAGTTGAATATTTATGATTACACTGCAGTCTGAGGTTGAATTTTCATATGATCATATGATTTTCTGTTTGGTTTGCAGAGGAGTTGACTCCCCTTATCTTGGAAACACAAAAGCAGTTCAACTTTACTCATATCTGTGCTGGTGCATCTGCTTTTGGAAAGGTAAAATCCTGCTTACATCCAGGATTCTTTGCCTCCATCTCTGATCAGTCATGTATGACTTATATCCCCAACTCTCATTGCTTCATTCAATAGAATCTGCTTCCCAGAGTTGCTGCCAAGTTGGATGTTGCCCCAGTTTCAGATATTATTGAAATCAAATCTCCAGATACTTTTGTCAGGACTATTTATGCAGGTATGACAACCTTAAGTAGACCACTGCAAATTATTATTCTGAATCAAATTTCTTTTTAAATTATATATTTTTGATCTTTTTTTTGTTGATTTAGCTCAGTTTTGTGGTTTAGTTCTGAAACGAAACATATCTCGGTACAGGAAACGCCCTCAGCACGGTGAAATGCAACGAGGCGGTCAAGGTCTTCACTGTCCGAGGGACGGCGTTCGAAGCCGCTTCAGCAGAGGGAGGAAGTGCTGCATCAGAAGAAGGTGTTACAGATTCAGCCTCCCGTGTTCGAGCACACCCTTTAAAAGAAAACGAAGCAAGCTGTGTCGAAATCCTGTCTCGCTCTTACCGATTATCGCCGTTCTGATTTGCAGTTGCTTCTACTCCTCCTGCTGGAGTTTCCGAGTGGCTCGAGCAAAATTTGACAAAGAGCGACCGTCCCGAGCTGACGAGTGCAAAGGTTGTGGTGTCGGGAGGTATGAACCCACCGCCCGTCTCTGATTCAAGATCTCAAAATGAATTTATCACTGTTAATAATGGGCAGCACAAAAAAAATAAAAAAAAAAGTCTCCAAGCAGCTAATGTCGAGCTCTTATTTTTCTAGGAAGAGGCTTGAAGAGCGGAGAGAATTTCAAACTGCTTTATGACCTCGCTGACAAATTGAACGCTGCTGGTACGATGAGAAATACGAGGGTTCATTTGTTATAGTTGTGCCGATTGATTAAAATGTAAATCTGTGGTGTTTTTTTTTTAATTTTTTTTATTGCAGTCGGTGCATCCAGAGCTGCAGTGGATGCTGGGTTCGTCCCTAATGACATGCAAGTTGGACAGACTGGCAAGATCGTGGCGCCCGTATGTTCAACCTTACATCAGTTGAATGTTTGTGGGAAACACTTGATCAACAAATGAAGGGGGCGTTAGGAAATTGACTAACTTGTGGTTAAAGAGATGAAGCTGTTTTTCATCTTTAAAATTTGAGCAGAACTTAAGCTCAGCTGCAGCATTAATGTTGTACACTTTACTGTGAGAATCGTCTGCTGTCCTCTACACAACAATTCAGCGAGACGGCGATGGCTGGTCCTTTCGAAAAGCTTAACTTCCTATTATGATTCAGCCAGGATACCCCAGCTGTGATTATCCACACATTAGGCTCCTTTGAAATGTGCCTGCTGGCACATTTAGCGGCCCTAAGTGATTTAGCTGATCCATTAGAGCAGAATGGAGTGGATGTCTGACCAGAGCCTCAGACGTGTCGTTTTCATCATTTTTTTTTTTTTCTCTCTCCAGTTTACATTAGATCACTCATGGGTACTATACTTCCTCTGAATCCTCAGTTGGAACATTCACTGCATAGTTCAGGTTCAGGTCTCTGACACTTTTTACGAAAAAAATATATTAAAAGTGTGTAAATGAATTTGTAAAGTTTTACTTTTTAACTTCGGAGTATTTATTTCATTTTGGTGTTCCAGAAAAATCCCTTGAAAGTAAATGCGACATTTTGTTGTTGTTGAAGATTAGAATGTTTACGATGATATAATTTGTAATTCACATTGTTCACTACTTTTCAGCTTAGCACACACAGTTTAAAAGATTGAAAAAAATACCGTGCGAGTGTGAAATATTGGTCACCAAGTCTCTGGTGACCAATATTTGCCTTGGTGACCAATCTTTGTTGTCAGATGATGCCAATATTTAGCTTAGCAAAGCAAGTCTTGCTCACTTCAAAGTACGTTTGAGAATATGTCATTATGCTGTGGGATCCTTTCTAAAGGCTCTGGAAATTACAGTGATTAACATCATAGATTATTTGATACACTGGAATGTCTTTAAAGGATAAAATCTGGTAAATACTACCAGTCAATTGAAACAAAGGTTGTTAGTGGGTCTTTCTACAGGATAATTTTACTAAACTTATGGCCAAATCAACACAAAACTCTGGATTATTTCTCTTGATTTGTGATGCTTCTCTCTGTATGTAAAATATAAAAGACCACCAGGAGCTGCTGTTTTTTTTTTTTTTTTTTCCCTAAGCAAGGTGTGGTTGCATAGCATTGATGGGCATCATTATTTGTGCAACCAATGAGTTTGGTAAATACTGCTGCAATGAAAAATGCATTGGTTTTTTTCCCACACATCGACGACTTTATCTGTGGTAGTGAATAACTTTGCTGCAGGTTTCATTAAACATCTGACCTGGGTTTTCCGTGCCGGTTCAGCTGTGTTTAGTCACGACTAACCTCTTTTCATGTTTCATTTCTTAGGAGCTGTACATTGCAGTTGGAATCTCTGGAGCAATCCAACACCTGGCTGGAATGAAAGACAGCAAGGTAAAGTTGGAGAACAAAGACAAATATTTTATTTTTTATAAATCCATTTTTCTGCTTTCCTGTGCCTCCATGCCTCATTTAGTTAAGCCAGTAATAGTGGTGTTTTACACAGATTTCAGGCAATTCTAATATATTGTTTTTTTTTCCCTTTTTAGACTATTGTTGCCATCAACAAAGACCCCGAAGCTCCCATTTTCCAGGTGGCTGACTATGGCCTTGTGGCGGATCTTTTTAAGGTGAGTGTCTATGAGCAAAACAAACTCGTATTAAGGTCTGACAAACCCAGCGTTTTATTAACTTTTAGTCCAGAATAACAGTCGGAATATAACATTTGTTTCCTAACTTATAAATTTTGCAGGATGCCTTATTCCACCTAATGGAAATGTGCAACTGCTGAATTATTAAGCTCTTGAATTAATCTAAGGAGGGTTCTGGCTGGTGCGTGCTGCCATGAGGAGACCACATTAGCATCTCAGGAGATATCAAAACTGATCAATAGCCGGATAAGAGTTGGCCTCGGTTGGTGTTCTGAGCTTCGACTTGCCAGACCTCTTATACGCTCAGTTGCGTTCTTGTGTCAAGTTGGTGCTCGGGGATATCGAGCCAGGCGCGTTGGCATGACTAACACTGGACTCCAGTGCCGTCTGTGAAAGGCTAGCAGGTTATATTTTCATGTGTGTCCTGTTGGTCATGTTTTATTTAGCCCCGCAGTAGTGGCTGAGCAGCCCAGGTGTCCTGACAAACTCTGTAGGAGTGATTAGGAATAAGCTGGTGGCAGCAGAGTTGTGACCTGCTGGGTGAGATCATCTTACATGTGATCACTCCTCAGATAACTGATTAAAATGGATGGGCTCTCTACTTTTTTCCTAAATGGACATTGATACCCTGCAGGAACTCGGGCAGTGACTGATGATTCTCCTCGGACGCCGCTCGAGTCAAATGCGGAGGCATGTGAATAAATTAGCATGCATATTCGTCTGAAGCAGGCGCTCGAGTCCGTAGCATCATGCCAAAAGGATTCAGACCGCTTAAGCTTCTCCGCATTGTGTGACGTTGCAACCACAAACTGCAGGATCACGTTGAGATTTCGTTGGACGTGTCAAGACAAAGTAGTGCATTATTTTGGGGGTGGGTGAAAAGTTGATGTTTATTTATTAGCTTTTGTTTTTTTTTTCCAGCCTCTTTTCCTCTCATACCCCATAAATTAAATGCACTGCAATAAACTCCCCTCAGAAGCCACATAGATTTTAGAATTTTAAACTCTTCTTTGAAGGCCTAAGAGATTTATTAGAGAACATTGTTGAACATTATTGAAGTGATGCCACTGATAACGACACAAAAGTAATTTCATCCATTTTTCTCCAAAGGCTGTTCCTGAGATGACAGAAGCTCTGAGCAAGTGAGGGGAAATCGAACCAGCGCTTCGTCGCACAGATGGAATAAATAATAGAGCAACGATGGGAAACAGTCTCTGCCTTAACACATTGTTGAATCTGTATGTTGGTGTTCTATAAAATCTCGTCATTCTTTTAAATCCCAGTTCTTGACGCAGACTGCGGGTATCAGATGGTTAATGGATGGCCTCTGCTTTTATCTTTTTGCTCTCCGTAGTACACGTAAATTGTATTTAAAGTCTTGGAACGGTGCTTTGGGACATGTAAGATGTCTCAAAGGAAATGTACAGTAAGTAAAGAGATGCTTTTTGAAAAGCAGTGTATTAAACACAGCTCAAAACGTCTATGAATTTGCCATGTTTCTTTTTTGCTTTTTATTAAGTTGCAGCATTGCTTTACCTTGATCAGAGAAACGTTTAAAAAGTTTCCAATGTGGTCACAAATCCTAAAGGTTCATGCTATCATTTTTTTTTTTTTTTTTTGCACTTTATTTAAACTTCTCACATTTCTTAATCTTTTGTGAGACAGTCATACTCATTTGTGAATATTTACACAAAAGTATGTGAAACAAACAAAAAAACATTTATTTAAGCTTAGATGAAACCTGAAGGGTTTTAAATACCTTAATGTGGTATGGCAAAATCTTGAATAATCTTATTAAACTGGGGTCGGACAGTTTCCAGTCATGGCACCTGGAGTAATTGCAAATCATCTGAAATTTTAAAAGTCCAAAGATAAAATTCCTTTAACTCTGACTGTGGATAAAAAATGTAGAAAGTGAAAGAATAGAAGTTGAGATGATATTTTGCCCTGCAGGAGTCCATCGAGACGGACTGTTAATGAATTTGGAGATTTTGACTTAGACACTGCTGCCTGTTTCCAGGTGATGTAATGAACAAGATTATTTGGAGAGCTCTAAAGTGTGAGAACAATGACGTTAAACCCTCAGCACCATCATCTTCCCCTCTTCATTTTCTAAAAAAAAAAAAGAACATATGAAAAAGCAAACTTGTCAGCACAGGCTTTTTTTTTTTTTTTTTTTTTTTTTAATGTCAAACCTTTTTTATTCTGGTGGTTTGTGTTTGGAAAAGTAAAAAATTTTCAATTCCTGAAAAGTGTAGCCTGATGAATAATCTGTCTATATTTTATCAGTGCCCCCTGTGGTGAGTTCTTCCTCTTACATCCCAGCAATATAAAGAAGATTAAAGGCAGAGTTCATGTACCAGTGACTTGTCAGGGTAATTGAGTTTTTCTTTTTTTTTCTTTTTTTTTTGCATTTGCATTTGATCTGACGAGTAAGCCTCGATAGCTGGTCTGTGAAATTCCTACGCTTCTGACAGGCGGTTGACTGAAGTCTCCACTGATCCCATCATCCTGTACTTCTCCTCGAGCAGAGGCTCGTTACCCTGCAGGTGGATAACAGGCTTGCCGTGAAGCCCGATCCGGCTCTCTTGGTTCCTCTTGTTATAAATGTTCAGTCTGCGCTCCAGCTCTGGGCTGGTTTTGGTGGAACCGGTCGGACTGGGCGGTTTCAGATTGACGGGGTCCAAGCCCTTCTGAGTGAGACAGGAGTCCTCAGACAGCGAGTAGAGCAGCTCCTGCACCACGGTGCTGGGGCTCCCCCGCGGCTGGGGGCCCAGGGCCAGCGGGCTGCTGTACGGTGGCGGGTAGCAGCGCTGGTTGCTGTAGTCCGTGGAGGTGGAGGCCTCGCGCACCGTGGAGCTGCAGTCCATGCTGGAGCCCAGCGTGTGGCTGCTGATGCTGTGCTGACGGGCGCTGAAGCTGCTGCGGGACACGGCGGTGGTGGACGCCTCGCTCACGGAGCTGCTGGTGCGCTGCAGTCGGCTGGACGGCGCCGCGTCGGCGCTCACTAAGGTAGAGGGAAGCTGGCTGGGGTTGTTGGGCAGATGGACATCTATCGCTGCCGTTGTGATGACACGGGCTGGGTCTGGGATCCCCATGTCTGCAACATATATATATATATATATATATATATATTATTTTAAATAAAACAACCTTGGAATGAAGTCATCTTGCCAACATTTGTGTACCTTTGAACTTCAATGTATTGGGAGTTTTGTACGACTCACAAAACTAAACGAGGGCATAATTGTGAAGCGAAAGAACAGGAAAAAGAAATATCAAAAATCTTCACGTATAAAAAGACTTAGTCTGGTGTACCTTTATGTTCACCCCCCTTTACTTTGATGCCGCTAAATAAAATGCAGTGGAACCTGTTGCCTTTAAAAGTAACCTAAATTAGTAAAATAGGGTCCACCTGTGTATAATTTAATCAAAACATGAGTAGAGCTGTTCTATGAAGACCTCAGGGGTTTGTTAGAGCACATTAGTGACTGAATAGGGTCCCGACTAACAAGGAAAGTAGAAGAAGATGCTTTAGTCAAATTTGTCAAGAATTGAACTTTTTGGTCCAACGTGCAGAAGTTAACAGTGAACATCACACTTAACACTAAATTCCCACCTTAAAACATGGTAGTGGCAGCCTCATGCTGTGGGGATGCCTTTATTAACCAGGGACTCTGAAAATGTTCAGATTGACTGGATAGTAGGCAGAGCTAAATCCTGGACAGAGACCTATAAGAAGCTGCAAAAGTTCTTCCAGCGGAATAACGACCCTAAACTACAGAGGAAGTTTAGGGTCGTCATCTATTCACAGTAGATTCATGTCTGCGAATAGAAGCTTTTCTGTCTGATTTTCCTAAGATGGTTGGACAAAAGTCTGAGCTATTTTCCTTTTCAGCAACTATGGACTGCTTGTTGTTGCGCTATCCATCTGAACCCCAGTTTTGTGTACCAGCAGTTGCAATGTGACAAAATGGGGAAAAACCTCAAAGAGAACAAACGGCCTACAAAAATCACAGTTTTGGTTTGCTGATACTCACCGCTGCTTGGCTCGCTGTAGTACTGGCTGATGTAGTTATTCATGTCATCCTGACCATGATGGTCTGAAAATAGAAAAAAAAAAAGGATTAAACTCATCCCAGTGTAAATATAGTGTAGTAGTTGCAAATTAACAGTAAAACACAAAATCAGTGTAAGTTATATAAGAAAGAAGAAAGTTATCCCCCAAAATCCTCATTTATTATAATACAACCTCTGGGGATTATTAAAATGGAGCTATGGTAACAAATAAGTAGTAAATAATAAATAAAATGCATGAGTAAATATGTGTAATAGTACACAATTGTTAGATGTTTAATATTAACAATATCTACATCTTTCTGTGTAATGACTAGTTAAGTATATGTTTTATGCAACTTTTTACAGGTGAGCCCGAGGAATATTTTATATATGAAGGTTTTTTTTTTGTTTGTTTTGATATGTTAAGCAAATAAAATTCAACCAAATTCAAAACAACTGAACTATCAAAAGCAAACTCTGTATTACATTGTAATGAATGACTCACTATGCTGTTGCATACATACTGAGATTACATTGAAGTACTTAAACATAATTGAATGATTCATTTCTGTTGCAGACAAATTTAAATGCAAAAACAAACAAAAAAAAAATTAAATTCTTCAACAAAAATCAATAAGTAAACGACAAATTCCTAAACATTTCTAATCCAGTTAGATAAAAAATTTGTGACACATTCACATTTTACAAATGTACACTTTTGGAAAACGTCTCTCTGCGTAACTGTTGATATGCCCGACTCCACAGCGTATTGATTTATTCTTGGGGGGGATTTTATTTTTATGAGTCTGTCCTCATTGGTCAGTCCAAACAGCGACAGACACCATTCCCCAAAATGATCAATACCACTTGAGTGCGAGACTTTCAAGCCCAGCTGAAACGCAGTCCGACTTCAAACATGGCGTCTGTTTCACTCTGTGATTTATAACGCCGATAATAAAAAAAAATGCTTCGGTGTTGTGAGCCCCTGACATCACCTGTACAGACAGTGCTCTGTGTCCTCTGAGTTATGAGCCGTCTCCGTGTGAGAGGTTTATAGTCCAGGCTCTGGCTCACTATGTGATCTATAGTGCAGGCGTGGCACCAGAATTTTGATGAGGAAGGTGAGAAGATTTATTCTGAGAGACACCAGCACCCTTACACCGTCTGATGAATGTTTATTCTGTGGAGGATAAAGGAAGTCGTGCTACATTTTCTGCAAATTCTTGTCTTCGTTTGCTTATTTTGTTGCCTCCAGCAAGCCAAATTGTCAAATATTCCTTTTAAAGTCAACTAGACAAATTGTTAAACTATATGTTGGTATGTTGGACAATATGCAGAGGCTGTGCTAATACCAGTTCTGCACTTTTATGGCATCTTAACAAGTTTTTTTTACATTGCTCAAATCTGACCTGAAGTGTACAAAAAA